TGCTACGAATGTGGATCTTCTCTTCAAGCAAGTGGCTCGACAGTTGCGAGATGGCCTGAAGACGCCGTTTTTCAGGTATGCTGTTTTGTAAATTTAATGAAAATGTTGTTTTCAGTAGAATCTGAAAGTGTCAGTTGCTCAAAAATTAATATTACGAACACCTGTGGTGAGCGCGACCGGCTGGTAATAATAGTAGTTAACATTTTCAGAGACTCATCTTTCATTCTTCGTCCTTATTCAGATCAATTCTTTAACCAGAAATGCGTTGATATTGAGGGGAGGGAGCTTTATGAGTGCGAGATAAATCGTACTTGGCTGTGGGTGGACGGCTGAAGGCCGTCCTCGGAGGTTAGTGCTCTGTTGGTCTTTTGCTACCTTGAAGTTTCTTTCACATTCATTATTTCTCACTAGAATCACATGAAGCCATACGGATGTATTGCATTAATCTCCAGTGGATTGTCCAGCAGGGCACCTAACTGCAATTGGAACTTCGGTAGAGTGCCCTCGCCCATGTCAGGAAAGTAGCCTTGGATCGACTTACTCCTCGTCTTCAGACATATCCCCGACAGCATGAAGAATCTTTCTTCGTGCAGAGGACAGCATCGTTTTTGAGTTCCTAGGGAGTCGAGGGTCTTACTCGTGTCATTAGGAGGGGTTCTTACTTATACGTGGTGCGGATATTATAGAAAATGAGATGTTTGCGGTTTGCTTGGCGGATACACCCTCTTAGGCGGATTTTTTCTGGTGATGGAAATCGGTCAGAGTAAAATTCACCACCTCTATGCTGTGCTCTGATCTCGCAGCATACTAAACAATTATGGCGGATGAATGAATGTTTTCGCTGCAGCCAGTCTTTTTTTCTGGAAATTAAATGCTCAATTCTCATTATTGGGTCTTTTTACTCACGCAGTGTGGCAGTGGATCGTGACGACATGATTTACATTTATTACATGGTAACTCTTGTGGACGTAGAAACCTCAGACAAATATTGAATGCAATAGAGCCTAGGTAAACCAACGCGGAGAACGCTGAATGGAACACAAGTGGCAATAAAGCAAAAAACAACCCGATATAAAAAAGGGTAAAATCTTACGGAACCAGGTAACGTTCAATCATGGTTCGTGTATTTTAGATTCTGGAACGGAGAAAATGGAAAGAATGATTCTGCTAGCAAAGTGAATCTTCTACAAAAGGCTCGCATCACTATCTGCAGAATTTGTCGATTATGAAAAATTAAACTTGGTGCCTGTGGCTGTGTTCTGTTATCTAGCTGCCATCCTCCTTCGCAATATTCCCTTCTTCTCACCATCAGATCAGTCACTTTATGATCACTTTGTTCCTAGTTTACATTTGCATTCTGTAGCTTAATTTTTTAGTGATTCCCAATTGATTTTGTTCTAGATTTGATCGTTAAAATGGTTGATGATGAAAACATTTTATTTTTGTATGGTATGAACTGCAACTTTATTGCGATTTTGGTCATGCCCCTTGTACATTTGAATCATATTCATAAACTCAATCGAAATTCTAATGTTGTGATGACAGGGCAGTGCTTGTCCGTTTTCCGGTGGATATCGATTGGAAATGACACAAGTCACGGCAATGCATGACTGTATCGTCATCCCTAAACTTATTGGCACTAGTTTAGGGGCAAAGAAAGACTGAAATTGTTCTTGATTGTTTAAAATGCGGCGTTTGGACAACTGTTTTAGTTGAATTTGTGTTTGGAGGGAATCGTCTTGAATCTTCATGAGATACTTCATCAAAAAAGTGCTTATTCTAAGCAGTTGAAACTGCAGGATGTTCGGAAGATGAACCGAAATATCGATTAGCGTACGGGCGTGGACTTTGGTCACTTTATCAGTTGATTGGTGTCGGCAACAACATGCCGCTCAGGTCGCCGGTTTCCCAACTAGGAGTGGTCAGGTAATTCTTGTAGAGTTTTCTACGTCTTTTCTATTTTGCCTTGCATGTTTTGCCTTAATCTCCATGGAACACTGGGTGGGCAGTTTGGGTTTTTTTTAATCAATTTCAGTGCGGGATTCATGCCATTTCGCCTCAGTATGTCGTTTCTATTACTTAAAATCAATTGCTTTCCGTTACAGTGGTTTCTGGCCGGTTTAGCGATAGGCAGTGAAGGTAGAAAGGGATCCCACGACATCTGGGAGTCAACTGAATCAGTAGATCAGTACGTTGGTAAGGCCTATGATGCGCACTCAAGAGATTCATCAGTTACCCACTCCCAGCTGGGGTAGTTGGCTGCTGTGCCATAATTACCAATCCAGTGCACCAAGCTGACAGGGAGTGATAACAGGTGGTAAATCTGATAAGGCGGTCTGGAAGAGATGGGTCCCAAAATTCGTGTTCAAACATGCCCTGTGGAAGATGTCACGAGGTGTGTGGCCAAGAAAATAAGTGCGTCGGGGGCATATCTTCCTTTGAACTTCATTGAGCGCCTTAATGTACCTGATAGGCACTTATTCCATGCAGCCGTCTGCCCCCAATGGGAGAGAGTGAACGACTTTGAAATGGTCATGACTAGTAACAAAAACTTGAAGATTTTTATTGATTTTTATTTATTTGAAGACTGGTAGTTTTGTAAACAAACGTCGTCATTGAAGCAGTTTCTACCATGCAGCAGTATCTAAGCCACTCTTACCTCTACTGATATGAATGAAACCTTAACAGCAGGCTTAACTGAGACTGCCTCTAATTAGTAGTCAATGTGAATTACCTTGAGTCCAGTCGCTCTAACTCTTAGTACTGCCATTTTTTTTGCGGCATCTTGCATGAAGTAGACCGCATGTTCATTCAGCGGGTGGCGGACCTTTAGCTGGAGTGCAATACGGTAAGATACTGTATAGCCACACAGCGCACTATCCGAGCGCCTGCGGCATGACCTCGATTAATTGCTGCGCTGACTGCTGACCTCTCACTGGCTACTCAACGTAACGAGATGAATCGATTTGTTTATTCTCAATTCACAAGGTTGAGTGTTAGGAAGAATTCTGGACAATGACAATAGATACAACGAAACAAATAAAATGCACTCCTTAACATTCGAAAAATTATATAGTTTTACTATGGTTTTTGATTAAGTATTATTAATTTTTTGTAGAGGGCGTGGGTCTTCCTGCAAAAGAACTGCGACAAAGGTGGAGGCGATGTGGCAGATATATGTGATTTCGTAAAAGAAGAATGGGCCGACAAAGGTAGCGCACCGGTGCAGGAATCTGTGATTTCACCGAGAGGAATGGGTGTTCGGATTGCGCATGCGCGGCCCTAGTAAGCGATGCGTTTTGTAGACTGAAGACCATAGTATTTCTGGGAAGGCGGAGAATCCCTGAAATGGGCTAGGATTTCAGGAATGAAGATGTGATATGTTTGGTGACGTACTGGTGTAAAGATGTATCGGGATAGGGATTGTAGAAGCTATCTGTGTAGAGTGATTGGCCGGCGGATATGAGCAGCAAAGCTGTAGAAATGGTCGGTAGATAACTGTGAGGAGTGATTTATGGGAAATCTAATGACAGACGCGTGTAGTAGGCCATGAAACATGCTTTCGTACGACAACCTGACGAGGTGTGTTATGACGAGGTGCTCATCAAGCTTATACAAACATATTTTTAGGTGACCTTAAATAAGGAAGAAAGAATTAATGTAAGAATTAATTTGCCTTTGGAAGGTCATTCGATGTATATGAACACCTAAAAACAGAACATTTGAAAATTTTCAACAGTTCTATTCGATGCGAACATTGTCTCACCCAATATTAAGAATTACGAAATTACTGATTTTAACTTATAGATCCGATATCAACGTATTCGAATCATTCATCTCGCTTAGTGAGTAGGCTAGTGAGAGCGTCAACGGTCAGCGTGCAATTAAAGCGTCATGCCGCAGGCGGCCTCGGATATGCGCGAGTGGTCGCATACGTATTTACGTTGCTACTCTATGTAAAATGCACGCTCATTAGCCTTCGAGGAACAATCAATTTCTGAGACGTTCTCTACCATGTATATAGTAAGGGAGCGGAACTCAAAGAGTGGGTTATTGTTTATCTTCGCCTTCTCCTTAGCGTTTCGAGGCGGCTCGCTTCCTTGTGCTCATTGTCCATTTGAATCTATATTTCATCGTGCTGCTCTCTCGATCTTAGGAACTAGAGTTTCGGCGTTCGCTGAACGAGAGTGCCTTCATACAGAACGTTTCATGATCATCAGTCTTCGATACGCCGACACCAAACTGACTTAATACACGGGCATCGAAATCAAATCGCAGCGTTCGAACGCTTGTTCAGTGCAAGATGTTATTAGTTAGCGTAGTTGCCAAGCCTCTCTTACAGTCTTGTTCTTTTGCGGTACTGGGATGCAGAGAGACTGGTTTAGCTCCACCCACCTGATTTTCCACCCTTCGCTTTGTGTACTCTTGTATCCATTAAAACATCTAGAGTTGTCTATCTACAGCTGACTACACTTGACATTCATCACCCCCTCCTACTTTCACTTGAATCATTGTCTTTTCGCTAAAATCGCCTCATTAAGGAATGTGCTCAAGAGCGACGTCTACGCAGCCAAACTCGGCGACTTTGCTCAGGTTTGTCGGGTTTATGCTGCAGACAGGGCACGTCATACGTTGGGGATCTTCTTGAGGGGTGCACTTGACAAAAAATACCCGGTTGTTGGCTCCCCTTTTCTAGGAGGGGTTAAGTAACTGGGAGAACTTTACGAAAAAATTCCTGAAAATTGAGAAGAAGTTGGGTAGAATTTAGGGGTAAAGAAAGGTAGGGGGGCGAATATTCTGCAGAACTTCTCCTACGGCTGGACGTGCCTTGGCTGCAAAATAGCAATTTAACGAGATACCCTAACTTTTTAGCCTCCCCCGGTGCTACACAATCCTTTCGATGACGATCCTATGCTGAAACGGACTCTAAGAAGGATTCTCCCCAAACAGGACTACGAAAAAGTATGTATGGATGAGTTATACTTTCAGTGCTATTCCTTAGATATTTGTTGAAGGTCGAAAAAGATTTGTGTCGATTTGGTGAACGCATAGTGGATGAAATCGATCGTCTTGGAAGAAAGTGTGAACTAAATCAGCCGAAGCTGGAGCAATTTGACGCATGGGGTAGACGGGTGGGTTTTCTCGCTGGCACTTTTCCATTCAACTGTACCGCGTGCCTTGAAATTTAGGTTTTAAGGTGGACGAATTGATAGTTTGCCCTGAATGGAACCGTCTAAAAGAGATTTGTGCAGAAGAAGGGCTAATTTGTGAGTTTCTATTTAGGGTCTTTGTACCTTTCTCTGTTAGGAGGTGTTTGTATCCTTTGTAGTGGAAGCGAAACTTTCGCTATTCTGTGTTGATTTTTTCCATGAAATTGAAAAATATACATAGTTTGCCCCTAAATAAATCAATTTCAGCCACTGGGTATGAGAACAGTGCTCACCCCGTTACGAGACGTGTTCATCAGGTTGGCGCTTGTTTTTGTTTTCCCCATTTTTTTATTAATGAAGTTATGCAAAAAATTACACAATTTTGCAGTTTGCAAAGCTCTACTTGTTCTCGCCATCAGGTGGTCTGACGACATGCCCTATGGCTATGACAGATGGAGCTGTCAAGACGTTGAAGGTACTTGTTCATGTTTTTAATGGGCTGTTCGGATCTGTTGAATTTGGAGGTTTCTGTAATGGCTGTTCGAGGATTGTGAAGGTTTGAAGATGTTGTTGCAAAAGCAATGTCACATTTCCGGAGAGTAGGTAAGTCAGGATTCACCTATATGCTTTAAGGAAAAGACCTGCAAAAGCAACGGTTTCTTTTTGGAACCCACTTTTTATTGAATGAAGTACAATTTCAGGCAGTTGCTACCGAGACCCAGACCCATTTCATGGGCGATTTACCGTTCCAAAACTCTAAGCCTTGAAACTGAAGTAGACGATTATACTCTTGTTCGCTGCGAACGGTTGGGCGTGTCAGGCAAATGAGTGTGTCACGCCATCAAAGCCGTTCTCTGCCTTCTTGTTGAAGCGCGCATGCGACAAAAAGTGGCAGAAAACGAGTAATACAAACGATATGATACCTCTTCGAGCTGATCATGATTACCAAATTGCTGTTCTCATAGATATTACTTTGTAGCTTGAAATAGCTACTAATCACTTGGGAATAAATCCGGAAAGGGCGCATAAGGGGTTATGCCACCCCACAATGCTCTGGGTTTTTTTTTTTTTTTTTTTTTGGAGAGTATCATAGCAGCTTCACGGGAACCGTGGGAATCATTCTTTGCCGCTGTGCTTTTTTGCTTATTTCGCGCCTACCCTTTTCAAAAACAGTCCCGGCGCTCTTGAGGCAGGGTTTGTCTTCGTGAAAATCTTTGCGTCTTGCGTGCATTGTCGAGACTGAGTTCCAGATTTCATTCGCTATTACCATCTTCGTCAGTCAGTCCTTTCTGTGCGGATTATGAGGAAATGTTCGAGCGGTAGTGGCTC